AAAAAACAACTTCAGCAACCACTTAAACAGCAGCCAGGTATATATATATATATATACGGCATAAATTCGGGTGATGCATGGTGCCTCATGTAGCTCACAAGTCCTCAAGATATACTTTATTGACGTGTGCCACGCATATCGGAAAAGCTAGCTCCACCTACATGAAACTCAGTTAGTTTGGGCAGTTAACGCATATTTTTTTGCTGGATGCCCCATCACGTCATATCATGTTTCCTGGGTTTGGGGCTATGTCGTCACTTGATCTCAGTGGAAAAGCCTGGCTCTGCAGCCTCAAGTGGTGATGTGAGGGATTTACATTGGGCATAATAAGATTCACGATATCAATCCTCCTCGGACAACGACCACAGGAAAAACAACTCAAAGATTCGACCATCTTGGATTTGTCACAGATGACTTGGGTGACTTGGAACACGGATGGAGAACAAAGCCACGTGTTCAGGGCTGGATGGCTCTGAATTACATGCTATATAAATCTATTTGAGGATCCTTCCTTCCAAGCAGATTCAGAGCCGGATTCTCACTTGGCCACCGTTGGGTGTGGACCAAGAACAGACTCTAGGCCTTGAGCTTCGTCGCGGGGCAACTGGTGCTGGCAGCGCAGCTCCGGGCAGAAGGCCTTTGACCTCCAAAGCACTGGAAACCATGACCTCCACGCGCACACCGGACGTGCCCGCTGAACAGCTTCATGTCAAACATTTGCACATTGCACTGTCTTAGTGAAACGATCAAGTTTGCCGCCCTAGCCTGCGAGCTTTCCACAGGTGAGGTGCGCTGTGTCACAACCCTGGAATCTGGTGGTGTGGCTTTTGGCAGCATGGAGACTTGGCTTTTGACATCCGAAAAGGACCGTGTGGGTGCTGTGGCTTTTGAGCAGTTTCCTTTGCTATTGCTCTTCCCACTAGCTCAAGGTAGGCAGCGCAGTTTTTGTGTGGCTTTTCCATATCTCTATATATATATATATATATACCTAGGCTCTGTCCTATTACCTGTAACAGTCGGTAAACACACTATTTTAGAGATGTCGGCCAACCAGGGCCGATCATAGATTCTGAGGCCATGATTAATTTGATTCTAATTAAATTCTCATAGCTTATTGTTTCTAATAGCTTCTTCTTACTACTAGTAAGGCGCTTGTTACTAGTAGCGATGCACTTGTTACTAATAGCTTCTTGTTACTATTCAGATAGATTGCCACTTTTGCTCCAAAAGGTCCGCAGATTGATTTGCAGCCCAGGGGATTGAGGGAGTCTCAACAACTTCAAGACTCCCAGTCAAATGCCCAGATCTTGAAAGGGGTTCTCCACAGACAACAACCTCGAACTCCTCAGATTCTTTCTTCATCTTTCTTCACTCCCAGTCTTCATCCCATTTCTTCCCTCTCCACACAGCCACAACCTCATGATCATCTCAAATAATCTCCCCACGTCTCTGTCCTCCTTCCCTGCGAAAAAATACCTCACCAAGGACAACCTCATCCGTGTCTACGAGACGCTCGGGCCGCCGCCTCGCCTCCTGTCGGGCCACCAGCGCCGCGCCGGTGTGGACGGCGTCCTGGCGCTGGCCGCGGTGCCCGGGACTGGGCGCCTCGTGTCGGCCGGGCGCGATGGGCGCATTATCGTTTGGCAGGATGGACAAGAGGCCCGGACAGACGGGTCTGCCGAGTTTTGCTGGGGAGTGGGGTAGGGTTGAAGTAGAATGTAGGGCAAAAGTCTAGAGATTTTGAAGTAGGATTTTGACAGAACATCCTAGAACTTCTCTATGTTCAAGCATAAATGATCATACATGTGTGTTGTTTGTTGTTTGTGTGAGTTTGTGTGATGAAGTGGCGTTTGGAGATGCTGAGATGCAGCTTTGTGCGGTGACCGCATGTGGCGCCGGAGCAGGTGGCCGATTTGAAAGGCCATGGGGAAAACATGGAAGGTGCCTTGGTAGCAGCTCGATCGATCAAGACATGCAAATCGGTATTCTGGACAATGGTGAACAGTTACTGTCTAAGACCGAAGAAAAAGACGCTAGTAGCCTCACCCAATCACCATGTGAGACAGATTAGGGCAAGTGTGGGCCAGTTGTTGGCAGCTGAGCTCTAAGCTCACAGCTCAGGCACCAACGTCCATGTCGTAAGCGCGTTGGCGATGACGAAAGACGGGTGCCTCATCTCTGGCGGCTGGGACAAAACCGTATCTCGATTGAATGGCGGCCCAACGGCTTACGTGCCAGGTGGAGGCCGTGGAAGTGGTCGGCAGCTGAGTACTGTTTGTAAATGAAATGGAGGAGTCGTTGTCCACTTCCATGTTGGTGAGCCCGAGTGTGTGGAGGTTGTTGTATTCCGGAATTTCAAGATCTTATTAAGATATCCACACAAGCATAATTACAAGTGAAATCAAGTGGACATGTTATGATTTGTTACTCATTACTCGCTTGATCTTTCTATCGTACCAGGAGGGAATTGGACATGCACCTCGTTGAAAGAGACCCAAGACGTCAACATCGCCATTAGTCACCCCAATCAGAGACCCACAATTGAATACAATTGAAACAAATCCACGTAGAACAGCGAATCAGTTTAAGTGTGGTGCATTGAAACAGTTTTCTGTTTCTTCTTCCCGGGCACGGGAATGCGCCCCATGGAAACCTGCAATGCTCCCACCGTGGGCCGTGGGCGCCGTGTTTTTCCGCCTGTTGAGGTCCGCCTTTGGGAGAACCAGTCCCAAAAATACATGATGACTGGCCATGAGATTGCCATCAACGCCGTGGCAGGACTTCGAAAGCATTGCTTCGACGTCGAAATGTTGGACCTTCGATGGTCCTTTTTTTGTGCTCAGCATTGAAGATGGATTTGCGGTCAGTTGTATTCCATGATCGATAGATCTGCTTCAAGACGTCGTGTACCCAAAACGACTGGTTACAATGAATATAAGACCCATAATATACATGTACCTACATAGACTGTCCATAGACAGACTCCTACCTCCTACTGTATAGTCCGACTCCTGTGTCTTGAAAGCACGGCCTGGCAGAGGCCTTGCCAACGGGGACGTCGCTTCTGGCAGCGGCGATCAAAGTATCGGCATTTGGCGTGACGGGCAAAAGCTGAAGAGCCTACAAGCCAAGCAGGCCAGATACAGCTACCAGCTACTAGCATCCGACCATGGACCCAAGCACTGGGTGATAGACTTAGAAGATTTCCTCGTTCTTTGGGGTGATTTTTCCATCTCAGTCTCAGAAGGGTACTTCTTAGAACAGAAGTGGCGCAAACTTCGGACCCTCGGAGCATTCGTACGACCCTGTTGTTCAACATTCCTCCTCCCAGTACGTATGGTTCTTGCAGTTCACCTTGCACGTACCGGGTTTCGAGAGAAACCCCGGCATCAATGGCCCACTGGACTCAGTCGCAGCATGTCACAGCAACCAACGAGGGTCCATCAGATCAGTCCAGGAATGGCAGGAACTCCCAGCAATCTGCGCGTGACAGGAATTGTCACTTGGGATTCCACTGCGAACATCCAGTGGAACAACCCACGAAAAGTACTCGCTCTACTTGCAGGACTTCTTCTGGAACCAACACGTTTGGCAGGACTTCTTCCAATCCCGTAGAGTTGGGGATGATCATGCATAATCCCCAAGTTGGGATGATAGTCACCAACCAATCTGATACTGTACTTGCCAGTGGGTGGTCGCTCGCCTTACCGCCTCCCTACCGCAGGTGGTCCGCGCCCTTTGTGCCCTGGACGGCTCTTTGCTTTGCGCCGGCACCAACGACGGCTGCATGCGCGTGTGGGACACCAACTCAGGGCAGATGCTGGCCGAGCGGCGCGTGGCCCAGCCGCTTGGACATGGGTTTGGAGGTGATCCAAGACACTTTCCCATGTCCAAGACACTCAAGGAGTGTCTATAGGGAGTGTCGTTCGGAACAATCATTATTGATAGGCTTCGCACACCGGCGATGCCCTCGGGCTCAAGCAGCAGGGGAGGGAGTGCATTTGGAAGCAGGGTACCTCCTAATGACGAAAAAGATATTCTAATTGCGAAAAAGAGATTCTAATTGCGAAACAAGACCTCCTAATTGCGAAACAAAACCTTCTAATTGCGAAACAAAACCTCCTAATTGCGAAACAACAGTTCCTAACTGCGAAACAAAACCCTGGATCTCAATGTTTTTCAGTTGCAGTTGATTCAATGGGTTGACAATGGCAGGTGCCAGGATGATGAAAGAACAATGGTCATGTTCCATGGTCAGGGACAGCATGCCTGACAGGCCTGATGGGGGACGCTGGCAGATCGGCGCTGAAGCTTTGAATTGCCTGCACTCCAGCGCTGAAGGGTTCGTGGAGGAGGTCTTTGCTGACTCCTTGGTCTACGCAAGGCATGCAAATCGAAGACGGTCTGGAGCTCCGATGTTCGGCTGGCGCTGCGAACCAGGGCTGACTCAGCTGCGTGGGTGTCCAGCGTGCAGGATGCCTTGCACCGTGCGGCGGCCGAGAACAGGCCGCACTTTCCTCGTCTTGGTGTGGGGACAAAGGCCGGGCCTTTTTTGCTTGCACCATCTCAGCTTGTCTCTTCAGAACGCTGTCTCTTTTGTGCAATAGGACACACCAGTGGCAGCCGATTGTAATAGTTCCAAAGACTGTGTTGGTGAAATAGTTCCAAAGACTTGCCTCTCCTGCTTTTTTTCCATGTACAAAACACTTTCAGACGGGTCTTTGGAACTTTTCTTCATTCGTTGCACAGTAAGATTTGTGTTGGTGAAATAGTTCCAAAGACTTGCCTCTCCTGTTTTTTCCACGCCAAAAACACTTTCAGACGGGTCTTTGGAACTTTCTTGAAGGTCTTTCAACCCACTGTTGTGGCATGTCTGCCAGGAAAAGAACAGCATGTCCTGGCAGACATGCTACCAGCAGTTTCCAAAGGGGTCATTGCATTACATGAAAGTTGTTGATTAAATAGCTGCAACGAACTAGGCATGCTACCAGCAGTTTCGAAAAGGAGATTCCATGAACTGGAACGACAGACCGTGGAGAGAACAATATATACGGACAGGACCTTTGACACGGCTCGGACAATATATACATAATACTGTACCTATACGGACTGACAATGAAACATCCGTTGCACAGCACGATTTGTGTTGGCGCAATAGTTCCAAAGACTTGCCTGTCCTGTTTTTTACCATGCAAAAAAACAATTTCAGACGGGTCTTTGGAACATTCTGGAAGGTCTTTCAACCCGCTGTTTATGGCATGTCTGCCTGGAAAGGAAGAGCAGTGAGCCAGCGCAAAAAAAAGCACGGCGAAATCCGTGAAAGCTGTAGACGGCGAAAGCTGTAGCAGGAAAAAATGTGATTTCACTGCGTGAGAGTTACGTGGCTCTTTTGAATCAACTTCAGTGTCATGTGTTCTCGAGGTCGTGGTTGTTCCTTAGTCTAGTATTTCGCTACTAGAGGACATGTTTCTATCGCTTTTAGGGGCCTTCAATTTCGTTATTAGGAGACATGTTCTTTCGCTATTCGGGGCCACAATTTCGTTATTAGATGACATTTTCTATCGCTATTGGAGGGCGCCCTCATTTGGAAGCAGCCAGTTGGAGGCGCGCCCGGATGTGGACAGGTCAGTGTGTTGCGTATGATAGGTGGCTGCGAATTGTGGGAAGGCCAGCGAGCAGAGAACCACGAAGGTAAACACATAAGTAAACGTATCAAGTCCTGCAAATTGGAAAGGAATGAGAGTGTAGGAGATCGCAGATGCTGTACATAGCATGGAATATGAGTGGTAGATTGTATTCCGGAAATATAAATTTCACCAAACCCCAGAAGGCATAGCGTCCGACACCAGTTTGCAATTGGCATTCCCAGAGCACAACGAAAAGAAATTGGGAAGAAATGGAAACACTGATTATGTGTGAGAAGAGTGTAGAAGTTCAACCGTTCAACCTTTGTGTCAGGATTGCGAAGCTGCAGCCGGCGGTTCCATCCTGCTGCCGCGCTGGAGTGGTTTGGAGGAGGGGAAGTGTGAAGCGTAGGGTTCATCAACCATGGTAGTCCAGGATGTATAGAAGAGATATTATCAGGGTATCCCAAAAATGAAAACACAAGAGTGGCAGCAGTCATCACTTGTTAGAGTTACGGAGGAAGTGGATGCTGGTAGTGGAAAAGCAGTAGTTGCAGTCATCAACTGTCATATCGATCGCGCAGTGGTGGCACTGTCCAGCAGAAGCGGTTTGCATGCCACCCGAGGCCGAATCCGAACAATTTTCCGCTCATTGCGACAGGGAAATGATTTGCAAATCAGAGTGATGTGTGAAAAGGGAAGCAGCAACGAAGAGGTTAGCACACTAGTTCCTGATTTGACAGCTTAGCGCGAGTTGCGCAAATACTAAAACGGACAGGGGATATTATGCAGAACACTGGCAAGACAGAATGACAAGAGCAACCAAAAGGTTAGCGAGCAGAAGAAGAACAACGCAGGAAGCAAAACACGAATCCGAATACTTACTGGGACTACTTACCATTCCGCAGGACTACTTACGACGACTGACTATTTCTCACTACTTGCGATTGCTACCGCCATGGGCAAGCAGCCGCGCGGTTTGAGGTCGGAGCCAAGTGAATGGCCGGAGCACTTGCGTAGCTTTGTTCCCAGTAGCAGTAGTCAACAAGAGAGGCCCGGCATAGGCGCGTTTCGGTCTCTGGCAAGCGAAAGCACTGATGTGCGCGAAAGAGCCTTGACGGCGTTGGCGCCGGGCACCGTGGGACGTTGTTCAGGAACGTTGCTTCAGCGACAACCCCAGTGGCTGCAACAGCGTTCGCTGGCGTTTCATGTCGAACATCGGGCCATCGAACGCCCTGGAGATGATGCTCGCTCGAGCCGGCAGCTGAGCTTGTTGACCGCCAATTTTGGATGTCTGGAGCGGCTTGGAGTCAACGCTGCAGGGATACAGGAGGAGACAAGAGTGCAGTCATATTTGGCAGGAAAATTTCACTTGTTATTACTTCAAGAGGCATATAGCCTGGACTTCAAACGGACATTGCGCACCTTCGGGTATTCATTTGTGACTCGGTGCGGCGGAAACCTTTTTGATTGCAATGGGTGGCACGGGCAGACAGCAAATAGAAGCGATCAAAGATGGGAACTTTGTGAACAAAGAGGTCACGAACGAATGGAAAGTTGAAGCGGAGAGGCTGCATTTTCTGGTGGCGGTGGTGTCTTGGGAGGATGCGCAAGGACAAGCTGTGGAACGAGCTGGTTTTGGCGTGTGTGTAGCATTCACATACATAATGACCTTGCGAAAAAGCGAGGCGCTATGGAGCCAATTGCAGAAAGCTTTTGGCAAATGATCCTCGAATTGGGAGTGACCTCTGTGGGAGGAGATTTTAATCAGGGATTCCCAATTATGTGCGAGGTGCTGGAGCAGGTTCTGCAGGTTGCCACGAAATTAGGTCTCGCGGGTGTTCGAGTGATAGGCGCAGCAATTTGTAACATCGAAGTCACTTTTTCGTGGCCAGCGCAGCACGCGGTGCGGGTGTGCGAGCGTTCCGCGTAACAGGCGCAGCGCTTTGTAACATCGAAGTCACATTGTCGTGGCAGGCGCAGGACGTGGGCATGCTTAATTTGGGTTCGGATGCTGTGCCTTGGAATTCTGACTGAAACGGTCGCGTTCATTGTTCGTGGCAGGCGCAGCATTTCGTGAGCTTCGAGGTACAACTTTCGTGGCCGGCGCGCGACGCAGTGAACGTTACTAAGTGTTAGCGGTCATTTTTCGTGACAGGCGCAGCATTTGCTGACCTTCGAGGGAAAGATTCGTGGCAGGCGCAATACAAAGTGAAGGTTGCTCAGCGCTAGCAATCATTTTTCGTGACAGTCGTAGCATTTGGTGATCTTGGAGGTGAAGGTTGCAAAGTGAAAATGAGTGTTAGCATGTATGTTGAGGCACGGGCGCAGTATTGAATGATCTTGAAGATTCAGATTCATCATCATCATCATCGTCATCATCATCATCATTACCAAACACTTTTCCAGTCGGGACACCCCTGGCGGCGCCGTTTCTCACTCAACTCCTATAGATGTTATATTTCGGAAACTTCCGTCCTCGTGCGGCTACACGTTAAATATTACATTCTTTGGATAGTTGAATACTTACACTCGGGATCAAAGTCCCTTTGCTGTTCGACTTAGCTTTCCCAGGACGGTTCGCAGTGCAGCGGCTCCAAGCACGCACTTGCTGCAGCAAGGGAGAAAAATTTGCGAGTCAGCAGCAAGCAGCGAGCGGCTCTAGTCTCCGCTTCTCCACAATCATCAATCACTGCATGGATGCGCCTCGCTCCTCTGCGGATTACCTTGCACAAACTTTTACCCACTAAAATTGAACCATGTGTCAACCAACATCCACCATCGCGCAAACATAGCGCAACTTCAGGTACACCGTGAAAAACATGGATAGTGTGTATTTTTCTGTTCTGGCTACGCCGCTGTACCCTTCTGTTGAAATTTCCAACTTCTATCTTCACTCCCGTAAGATTTCACACCTGAAACGGATTCAATCATATTTCTACTTTTTCCGCTTTCACCATCTCAGACACATACAAAAATCCAATCTCCAAGCATATTCACAGAACATTTTCTGTAACATCCAACATGTGAGCGATACCAAAAAACTTGACCCCTGTTTTTTTATATAAAAAGAAAAAGTCAGGTTACGCTTAAAAAAACACCTGGCATCGTTCTTGCTTCTTCTTCTTCTTCCCCAGCTTGCCTACAAATAGATCGTTCGCAAGAATCCAACAAAAGACACCAACAAACGACTTAGATTGTATGAAATATCTTAGATATCAGATTTCCTGACTACCAAACATCTCAAAACCACGCTATTTGCGTCGTTTCGTAGCCCTCGGAAGCAGCGAACGCCGTAAATACCAATGTTTTTTGACGCTCAGGTGCTCAAAACCACGGTGTTTACGATGTCTTTTCAAACAACGCGGTATTTGCGCTGTTTTTTGCACACGCGCCTGCAAACACATCGGTATTGACAGTGCTTGGGCTACATTGTCATTTAGTTTTGTTCAGGTCACGATTTGCACAAACACTGTAATTTACACTCTTTTGGGCCTTGCCGCACACAGCAAAAACATTCAAAAACAGTCCCAAAACCACCCACATTCTGTGCCTTTCTCGATCTGCGATTTTTGGTCGATTTTGTACACATTTTTACAATTTTTTTACCCTTTCCGATGTCCCCGGAAAACGCCTCGTGCCCATGCAATTCAATGATTTTATGGATTTTCCTAAAACCCGATTTTGGAATCGCTCAACTTCCAAAAACGCCTCGACATGCATGCGAAAACAACGTTTTTTTGAGCCACATGCAAAAAACACTGTAAAAAACAGGGTCGGCGTCAGGGGCGCCACCCGGGATAGCAAGCTAGGCTTGTCTATGCTAACGGCACGGCATCGCCGGATTTGAAAGTATTTTGGACGATAAAGGGAGTGGCATAGGATCCACCCAGACGTGACCCTGGACCCGAATCCTTTTTGGAGGGGGAAAAGAACCGGAGGCCTCGGACCCAAATCCTTTGGAGGGGTTTGGAGTTTTGTTCACCAGTCCCGATCGGTTTTGACGGACGGCTGTGAACGGAGCGGGTCTGGGTACGGCCGGCTCATGGACCACGACTTCGTTCGTACACAGTCGAGTCACGGACCCCCAGACCTGGAGAGCCGAGGACGTCGGAGAGCGAAGAACATGTAGACCAGGACACCCTAAGGCCGGGCCCATTCGAAGGGCACCGAAAATAAAGAGGTGATAAGGGGTGCCATCAACCACCCCGACAGTGGGTCCTGGTCCTAGTATAATAACTATGTATAACTCCTTTTGAGTATATATACTACTTGGTTTCCAAATCATCTCCAAATCGTTGGGTCTCGTTGTATACTTCCTTTGGAAAGGCCTTGGAAAACACGCCGGGAGACCGGCCACGGCCACCCTCGGTTCAGGTCCTACGTCTTGGCCCTCGCGCGGCGAGGTGATCAGCTGGCGGCCGGCACATCGGATGGCCAGGTGGTGATCCTCAGCTGGACAGGCGCCTGGGTCCAAAAAGAGGATAAGGCTGAGCCAGACCCTCTGTGGGTGGGTTCTAGACGCGGTGGCTGTATTCGGTGTTCCGGGGTTTCCAGAATTGGTGGTTGGATAGGTGAAGAGATACGCTCCCTGGACCTGGAACTAACATGGAAGTGGATGGCGTGGTCCGTTGGATGATCATTTTCAAACAGGTGGTGAACTCCACTTCCATGATTATTCCTGGGAGTGTATGCCTTGGACATGTCCTGGTTCTTGGTGCGGAAAATGCTCCATGTTGTCGGTGAAGTCAGGGTGAACAGTGAGGGGACGGGGACGGTCTGAAAAATGCGTTGTTGTTCTCATGTGTCACATCCTCAGATCCCCGAACCAAGACAGTTTCAGCATGTGGTTCAGTACGTTTCCGTGTTTTCTTCTCCGTTCTGAACAGGGTCCTGTGCCCGGGGTCCACTTCGCTGAGTGATGAGTCCATGTTCTCGGACCCACCCTAGGTGGCGAACTGCAAGTGAAAGAAGAACTGCAGGTTTGTGGAGAGGCGTGATGTTTCCCATGTTGAGAGGTTGCATGTTGAGAGATCAAGTGGAGAAGCTTGCAATTGTTGCATGAGATATCATTGTCATGTCATGAGTCATGAGATGTTCATGATATATATATATATGTATATATATAATTATTTAAGATTATTTATCTAATTGCTAAGAGTCAAAGGTCAAGCCAAAAAGGAACTTTTCGATTTTCTACATGGTCCATATTTGCGCATGTGATGTTCCTTTTTGTGGACATGCGAGAAGAATGCATGAGACCAATTCTTGGAATGACAGAAGTGCGCAATGTCTAGAATCTCGATCATAGAATCTATATAGAAACTGGAGGTATGACGTTGCGATGTTCCAACTAAGCCCTCACTACAAATACAATAAGTATGATCATGATTTTGCTTCTGCCTGAAGAGCACTGGCAAACTAATGGTGAATGTGGCATGGCATAGTTAGTGGCATAGTTGTTTTCCAAACAAGCAGGCTACTATGTTTGACTGCAAACCTCGGGCTGCAGCCACTGTTACCTCCAGGTCTATGGCCTCAGTTTCTTCGCCAATGGCGACCTGGCCGTGGGAAGCGGCGACGGCAGCTGTAGCGTGTGGACACGCGACGAGTCGCGCGTGGCCAGCAAGGCCGGAAACAGTGGTTTTCTCTCCAGAGCCTACAAATTCGGTGAATAACCATGAAGAACCTTTTTGGGGGAATGGGGGAAAAACCCACTAAACAAGAACCACCTGGTGGAAAAAGGTTCATTGCTTTCGGATTCGGTTTTCGGGGTGAGCAGCTGTCAGAGACTTGAGGAACGACTCTTCACCAAGAGCACCGACTCTTCGCCCGGGACATGCTGTAGAAATGCCAACTGTGTGTCTCCTCCACTGATGTCTCAAACTTTTGCAGTACCAGGATGATATCCTAGAGGTGAAACCTGCAAAGCACCCTTTGGTCCTTTCCAACGAACAACATGTTCCTAAAGGTCTCCATCAACTGGACTACCCCAAAAGTCGCAAAGTGCTCAATAATTAGTCAGGTCACTTGCTGTACAGGGTAATGACCAAACAACCATGTACTCCCCATATCGATTTACAAAGCTGCCCAATTCTTTGCAGTCCCCCTTGCGAGTCTTGGTGTTACATAATTCGAGTTGTTCCTCTCTTGGAAACTGCGCCGTTTCCCTGCGTCGCAGGCGCTGCGCGAAACTTTTGCAGCACAAGCTGCTGCTGTGGCCGTCGCGCAGGCCGCCGAGCCCGGACCGCCAGCAGGCGGAGGCCCCTGGAAGCTGAGGGGTCTGTCTACAGCTTGCTCCACAGAGATGGCCTCAGTGGTCGCACTCTGAAAGGGGGTGCACTGTTCTATGATGTTCTACTTGGAACCCTGAGGATAACTTGATGGTTCAATCAATGTACACGTATGCTGCATCTATTGAATCAAGATCATTTTCCATTGTTGGTACAAGTTTGCTGGGGTTTGGTCAATGGGTCAATAGACGTGCAGGACCACATTGGATTCGGGCGTTTTACGCGACGTCGGTGCCACGAACGAGGGGGAGGCGGAGCCGCCAGCGGCTTTGACTTCAGCTCTAGCGTGGAGTTTGGAACAAGACAGCTAACGCTGAGCTGGAACCGTGGGGACGACCCGAAAGCGGTGGCTGAGCGCTTTCTGAGGCTGGTTTTAGGGGATGGAGGGTGGTGTTGATTGGTGGTTGGATGGGGTGTGTTGGTTCAGTAACTAGATTAACTAGTGAACAAGGAACATGATCACAGTGAGGGAGCAGAGTAAAGTTGTTGCAAGCTGTTCTTGTTTGAGCAAGGTAGTGTGATGGACGGAGAAAAATCCCGGCTTGAGGATTCAGCATGATTGTTGATGGCGGGACAGATATTTTGATAATTACAGGTGGAAGGTGCCACTTATAGCATTGCCAATGTCACTTTTTGTTGAAACGTGTCCTACCACAGCACTACTATGACTGAGAGAATTGGGGTATGCGATAGGATGTGCAGCCACGCCAGGGAAAACGGCCTTGATCCAAGACATGCGGGACACTTGGTTGCAAGTGATGAATGCAACCACCGTCATACTGAGAGCATGTGAGAGTTACTTGTCCTGCAACCATCCACAAACCACTGACTTTCGTTGTCCAGACTAGGAGACGTTATCAGAGATCTACACTCATATCACATCATGATATTTGCAGAGGAAGGAAGAGCAACATGATGTCCCAGTCAAGTGCAGCATACAGTACGGCAACCAGGTGTAGTTTTCGTTTGACACACAGGTATTAGTTATACTCTATGTTGTCGAAGGTGTATAGAACAACTCGAAGCTGTTGTCATGTTGCGTTCCCGAGATGAGGTGATGTGATCGCCTTTGTGACTCAGACGATGCAGCAGCAGAGTCTGGCGCCGTCGACGAAAGACTTCAACTTTCCCGTTGAAGTGGCCGACGGACGACGCTTGACCATTTCCTGGAACCGCGGGGAGAACCCACAGGAGATTCAACTAAGTGATCCTATTATCAACCCGGCATATGGCAGTCGCACACCATATGTACAATTGTGCCATCATGGGCCATCTAGACTTGTGTGCAGTCAGAAAGGCCCGCGTGTTCTTTTTCTAATCATCCACTCTTCGAGCAGGCCTGGCAGATTCGCTCGATCTGTACCTTCGTCCTTCGTCCGCTGGTGGAGTCCCGGAGCGCAGGAGGTCGCGCTGAACTTCGCCCGGCAGCACGGCGGCATCGCGGCCAACGAGCTGCCAGACATTGCCAACTTCGTGCAGCAGGTGCCAACTGGTGCTGCCAACACGGGGACGTGTTCTGGGAGGGTCATGAAAACACCAAGAGAGAGCTTGGACTGGGCAGTTGAATTGGTAGGGCACTCTTCTCGTGGGTGATCATACCAAGTCCCCTGGGAGCCATACCTTTGGTAGCTTCGGAAATGTCAACACGCGGTAGCCTTGTTGTTGTTCCTTTACACCCAATCAGGGTTTCTAGAGTCTTCCAGAACATGATAATGATATCACCATGATGCCTGTCTTGAAAGAGTTAAAGAGCGAAACTTTTATCACACTCCAAGAACATAGTTTGAGTGGATACGCAGCCGTTTTGATTCAAATGGTTGTGTTTCAATCCCTACATGTCCAATTGCTGACATGAAAAGACCACGTCCCGAACCAGAAGCACTCGCAGCGGATGGACGGGTGGACAGACCAGATCTTGTGACCTTCAACGTGAGCGGAAAGATCTACACCGTGCTGTTCGAACCGACATTGAGCTTACACCCCAACTCACTCCTGACGCAGCTGGCAGAAGAGAAGCAGATGGAAAAGGATATTTTTGTGGAAGGCCTCAGCTGGATGCAGGGATGCGTATGCGTGTGTAAGTTCGAGGATGACATTTTGCAAATCCTTTGAAGATAGATTCGAAAGGGGTGCTTGTCGTTTGATTATATGGTTTGCAGGACATGTGTGTGTTTGTTTGTTTGTTCGCTTTTAAGAAGGTTAATAGTTGGGAGGAGCTGTTTTATTCTGGAGCAAAGGAAATTGACCCTCAAGGCCGACTTGCAGCCAAACAATGGACATCCAGAACATGCACCTGGAAAGAAACAGCACACGAGAAAGAAACATACAAAGTATGTTGGAGGAGAATAAAAATATCGGGTCTCCAACACTGATGGCTTTTGGCGAAAAGAAACCCGGATGGGTCCCAGGCGTAAAACACATTCCAGGTGCTTCGACAATGCACATCAACGCACGGTGTTAAGATGAAAAACAACAGCGACCTTTGGACTTTGAGCAGCTGGAGCACCTGGAAAAGTACCTAGCCATTTCGGAAGCACTCCAGGAAAAGATTCAAGGGAATCAGCCTGGTTTGCTACACGTCTTTATCTTGTTGAACTGTTCAATGATAATGTGTTAATTGTATGGTTTCTTGTGTCAGAATTTGCCTTTTGGCTCTAAACTTGTGTACCAAGTTTGATGTTTTTAAATTGGTGTGTATGTCATTCGAAAAATGTAGCTCAGTCAGCCTTATAGCCTCAAAGTTTGTTGCGTTAGTTTTTGGTAGTTGGTATTGATGCATTCAAAGGCACCTTCAGACATGTTGCTTGCTTGATGCAGGTGACCAAGACCTCTTCAAGTATGTCCTTGAGTATCACCGTGATCGAAAGATCATCCTGCCTCCGACCGTGTCGAAGGAAGCAGTGCTCAGAGAGGTGAAGAGATTTGGCCTGGATGTGGGGTCTGAAGAGAGTCTTGGAATATGTTGGTTCTATTTTAGTTCGATTGGATGAATTTATATGCTTAATAGATCTCAGTATACTAGTATAGAGTCTTTTGCCGGGGAGATGGCTTTTGACCAGTGGTTTAGCAGCGGAGGATTGTGGAGGACGGTGTTCATATTCCCAGTTTTACAAAAAGGTTGAAAGCGGAACAGGCAAGACTCTCGGTGCAGGAGAGAGAGAATCGCTCTGCCCTGCTTATGAATATGTATGCGCAAGCGATGTTGGAGCTGTCCAAAGACACAGGTGATAAACAGTTCAATGTATCATGTCAGAATGTTCTGCTAAAGCTTGGCAAGGATGCTGATGCCATCGGCAGATTTTTGCGTTCTTATGACCACCCATGTTTCGTCCAGTTGATCCAAAGTTGGGCGCTGACCGTCGGCTACTCCACTACCGTATCGGAGACGGGCAAGAATCTTACCGTCACCTTCAAACCAATCACTTGACCTCTCCCATCCCACCGCATTTGCCTCGCCTTCTTGCCATTCGCTGGAAGAAAAGAAGTGCTTCCGGATGAGCAGACTGGTTCAGGAAGACGGGAAGGACATGGAAGGTTTACTTTTGAGGGGTGATGTCTAAGCAGGGCACTCTGTCAACATCTGGAAAGACCCCCCATGTCCCGAAACCTGTTTGAATTTTGCTACTGGGAATTTGACCAGGGAGTTCTTTAATACGTAGATGCACACCTGGTGTTTGAGAGCTCACCTGGTGGTTTGTGAGAGCTGACTGTGTCACCTAGGCTCGCCGGCTCGCTACACAAAACCAAGAGGAGTCAGGTTTGAAGGATGCCATGTACTTCGAATCTTCGAAGGGCAAGTTGTCTCATGTCTTGGGCCAATAAAGGGTAATAATGAATGTCACACTGAGACCTGTCTGGGGTAATTGTGTGTCCATGGTGTAAGAACATGAGATGGCAAAGGAGCGCCCTGGAAAATTCCTTGAAATTGCAGGTGACGAATCCCAATTCCTAAGGCTGGCTCAGGAAAAAGACTCAGAACCAGGCTGATTATAAGGCTGATACCAGGCTGGGTCAGGGTCTCAAGATGTTTAAAGTTCACAGTGAATCTTGAAATGACCGTTTACCTCTGCTATCCACTCGGATTTAGTTGGAAGACTGACCCTCGTGGCGAACGCCACGGAACGGTGCTCATCACAATGCCACTAGGCCTCTGGAACTGCCGGCCCTGCCATGTCCGTCCAGCCTCTTGGTGCTCAAGGGGTGCTCTATGGCCGGAATGACGTCCGACAAATCACTCATTGGTACAATATCACTTGCGGCAAACAATGGTTTGTAGATTCATCTACAAAGAACCCTGCATGGTGATTGGTTCGAAGTTGGTAGCTTCCCTTGTGTTTCTCCAAGAGTATCGCAATTTCATTGAAGTGTGGGATAGGAGACAGGTTGAGTTGGCATGATTAGAGACTTAGGCTGAACCCTTTTGGGGTTTTGCTCGGCATCCAGCAACTCTAATTCTGGGACCCACCATGTCTGTTCAACGGAGACACCTGCGATTTCATGTGATTGTGATGTTGCCACCGAAGAAACCTCATGTGTTGCCACCTGGTGCTCCAACTGCGATGCCAGTAAAGTCCAGGGGTTCCTCCGCCTCGGTGCTATGCCGAGACTCATCTCGAGGCCAGCTGTGCCACCCGAACTGCAGCAGCAACTGCTTCAGCAAGTGATGTCGATGGGCTTTCCGGAGCCTTTGGCACGTCAGGCGCGACATCAAAGAAGCTTGAGGGTCATTCTTCACGGGGTGTGTTGAACATGGTGGGACCCGCCAATCTTCAAAGTAGTTCATTGATATTCACCTATTGCATCCATTTGCATCCTATTTTCCAAGACTTGCTGAAAATCTGTTGTGATCTCGCTTGGGCACCTGAAGAACGTAGAAACACATGTGTCAACAGGGGGCCCTCCACATCACCCCCTGCTTCGTCGTAGCCCATCGACGTCCTTTCGGAGGCCTTGGAGTCGACCGCTTGGGACGTGGAAGCGGCCGTGTCGCGCCTGCTCGGATGAGACCGGGATCCATCCTGCTCGGTTCCGGCCATCGCTTCGACCTGCCATCGCGGCGCCAAAAGGATGGCGCACCAGGGAGGGACGGCTTTGGATGCGACGCGACACGCGACGGAAACCATTGGGTTCTTCACAGGTGGGCTCTTCATTGTATGGTCGACATAGGTTTCAGCGAAGAAGCACTGGTGTCCAGACGGTTCCACATGTATATGTTTGTTAGAATATATAGGTTATTCACATATATATATATATTATATATATATATACATATGTGTGTTTCCCTTTGCATGAGGATCCTGAAGCGAGAGTCAAACTGGCTTTGCATATTCACCGCAGTAAGGGTTCAGAGCTGCATATGACAGATGCAAGTCCAAAGTCCCAGTCTTATTGTGCAAACAGTCGCCAAAGCTTCTTGCTACAAAAACTCTATTCAAGGCATGCATGACCGAAACCAATTAAGGTGTACGAAGCAGCCATGCAGAGTAGAGGGATGCAGGATCAGCGCCGTAAGCCAATGACCCAACCAAGGGTGTTGATGCACTTGTAGCACCAGCGCACACATCGTTGAGGGGTTTATCTCATGTCCAGGTCTCAGTTTCAAGAGCCACGACCACCTGACGGCTTGTTGACCCATGGATTACACCTCCTATGGCTCGGCCTCCAAAGTTGGGGTGATGTGATATCATGGCCTGGCACTGAGAGAGAGAGAGAGGGAGGGAGATCTTGACAAGCTTGCGGTGATGTGAATGTGGGTGAGTCGAAGAACATGTACATCGGGGGTCCGATGCCTCGGCTGCCTCGGGGCTCACATCCATGTGGTCCATGTCCTTCATTTCAGGAGCCTGAGAGGAACAGACACCGGGCGATAGGTGTCCGGAGAGTGTCACCAGTTAGCAAAAAGAACGGATCAACCATGTGTGGTCCTCATGTGCTGGGTGGCTGTTTGTTGACGGTGTGAAGGTGTGAATGAAAGACTTGCCTTTTTCATCTCCTTTGCATTTGAGCCGAGGTGCTTTGCGTTTGTGTGATTTCCTGTGGAGACCACTGGACTCCCTTCTGGGTCAATGCAGGCCTGGAGTCCTCAGATTCCGGTCCTGATCAGGTTGTGAGTCATCGCATCCGAACCAGTCCTGTGGTCCGGTTTGCTGGGTCTTCTATTCAGGATGTTCTTTCTTCCAGCAAGTAGCTGTTCGCAAGTTTTCGCATCCAACAGTTCTGTGAGTGTTGCTGTTTTGGAAACTAGTCGACTAGATGATTCTTGAGAAGAGTATGTGTTTTGTGGATATCGGATAGGCTTTGAGAAGGGCAATGCTCAGGGCTACTCAGGAATGTTTGCCTGTGTTTGTGTCAGTCAATCGACTGTATGAGGGAAGGGATCATGAGGTGCAGAGAGGTTGAAGGAAAAACCCAGCGACATTGGCGGACAGACCTTAGGGCGCAGGACCGGACCCGTAGACGTGTGTTCTTCTCCCAGGCGGGGGCGACGGGCATGACACAAAAACACATAAAAACACACACTACTGGGTCCGCCAGTTGGGATGTGTGTGTCTAAGCAGTCATCGCTCAAGCAGGAGAAAAAGGTACCCATTTTCTACGCGAAAGAGATGTTGTGATGCGAAAAAGACGTTTCAACTTGCTTGGGATGTCGTGCTTTGCTCAAGAAATTCTGCTTTCTTCAGGTCGAAAGGACAAGGGAGAGATGGAGGAGCCTCTCCCCATCTTCGCAAATCATTGGTGTTTTGCAAACACCTTGCATTCTTTCCATTTGTCGCAACTCCTCAGCCGGTTAGTCGAAATGAAGCATGGAGAGATGCTGGCGGATGCTGAATCCGAATCATGGACAGATGTTGTCCCTCTAGTTTGGTCCGATCATCAATTGGTTAACACGATGTGCTGCTCGTTTGCGCTACTTAGACACAAGGGTGGTGTGTCTTCTGAGTTACCACAGCACCTCCAATTGATCCTGTGTTTTATGATGTTTCATGTTTTGTCTTCCAGCTCTTCAAACTGCATTGTGATCATACCTCAAGCTTCTTGAATATGTAATCTTCAGTTTCACCGGCAAAATCCTGCCCACCTAGCAGGAGGAGGAGCTTGCTGGCACCATTTACGCCGATGCCGCCCTCTGAGATATGATGGGCAGATATTGGACTTGAATCTTTCGGAGTTAGACATAGTTGGACTATAGAATTGAGTATACACGCGAACCACTTGAGGCCACAAAAAGTTGCTGTTTTTGTTGCATGAAGTGTTCCTTGTTATCTTGGTCCTTGCTACGATCCACTTCGTTGCTCGACGTGAGTCACTTCGTTGAAGATTGAAGTGTGTATGATATTCTTGCAGCAGAGAAAGTGCTCCTGGTCGGTTCTTCTCTAGAAAACTCGGATGTTTCTTTGCCCCAAATATATTTGACTGTCCAGCTTCATTCGATGTTTTTCCGAATTTCATGGCATGGAACTCTTTGAGTAGAGGAGGTCCTGTCCTTGGTCAGTTCATTAGTCTCTGTGCGACTAAGGAGACATGTGCCACCAACGAGTTTTAGACGTTTCCTTGGACCACCACGTCCTTGGGCGATATGGGAGTCTACACACCGACCTGGGCCTATGGAAGTTGGTTCTTGTTCTCATTTGTTAAGCTGTTAAACGGCCTCTTTGGGTGTGATGTCTTTGGTGTCCAAAACGCGACACGCCGCCTGCGTGTTTGCACCAAATGTCACCCATGGAACCCTTCTCCCGCCCAGGTGGATGGGTGTCCGCGCCTCAAGGGGCGAAGTTGCGAAGAGAGTAGGTGAGTTTCACATCCATTTTCTCAGACCAAAAACCGGAAGTTTTTCAGATTGGAAGAGCCCATTGCAGTCTTCACAGCCTTGCAGTCTTCATTGGGCCATGCTGCACTTGGGCCATGCCATTGGACCATGATTCCACCGATTCCATCCAATATCCCCCAAGCTGCCCCCAAGCACCCCCTCGCAGCGCAGCGCCGTAGCGCGAGATCAACTCCACATGGGTCAGGTTTTTTGCGCTGACCAGAAGCTTTATCAGCTGGGGTATCCCAAACTTTGGTGGTTTGAGTCTACATTGCGTGTTTACATCACATGTTGGAAACACTCAGGTGACCTGATTTGTCGAACTGCACAAGCTGTTTGGTTGGTGTTCAGACTATGACACCAAAGACATCCAAAAATATTCCAAAGTAGGATTCTGCTAAATCATCCAACTCGTCCCATGATGATCGACAGCCCATGTCAACAGCCCATGTCACAGACCCGTACAATTCACAGGCCTTAATGTTGGAAGCCACCCAAGTTGCCAAGGTCTTCAATATTTGATTTTCAGAACTGTGAAGGGGAAAGAAACACTCATATGTGTCACCATGTTTTCATCTTGAAACATGGTGAAATGGTCTCTTTTTCTTCATGTCTCACCTCCCAGATGTGCCGCATCCTACCCACCTGATGAGCTATCATCCCCAATTCGGTCTCCGCGGCTGGGCTCCGGTGGAAACCGGGCTTTGAACGAATGAGGCTGTGGGATACCATGGCTGTTGGAGTCGGTCAAAGAGGTGCCGATAGGGTGGAGAGTCGAAGATTTTGCGCAAGCCTGGTTGACGTTTTTCATGGCTGGTTGCCTGGTCGACTCAATAAGGAAACTGGTCATGTTTTTGGATGTTTTTGGATTGCTTCAATTCCATCTCTACGTTTCTTGGTTTATCCCACCATAGCCCACCGCGGAAGGACGAGCGATGCTGTTTGCGGAAGGGGCTATAGGATGATTGGTACGCGGAATTGTCTTCAGGTGGCAAGAGCTCATGAAACCTATGGTTTCAAACCTATGACCAAAAGATGGCAATTGAGCTCATGTTCTTTAAGAAAGACTCGGGTGGTCCGGTATGTTACCTGAATCTAAAAGCGGTACTTTTGACACGTTTAGACCGTGCTTGTTCTACTGCGCACGCTCTGTGGGGAATATCAATGGGTTTTTGTTTGGTAGACTGTCCAATTGCTTTGCATGATGGTTGCATGAGCTTGTCATTCTCGCAACCAGGTCTTGCGGAAGTGGGGATGACGGGAGCCTCAGCTTTCTGTGTTGGCCAGTTGATGGAAAATCCTTGAGGCTTCAAAGAACATCAAAGAACCGGGAATGGCATGGACCAAGTGTCACTGAAATGGACCCTTACATCATGAGTTTGTTTGAAGGGAATGATTGCATGGAGGCAAATCTCCTGTGATCTCCTTCCCAGTCTCAGAGATGTTCAGAGCCTGTGATGTTTTGTCCTGTTCTCAGACGTCCTGTGATGGAAGACGTGCAGGTTACCACGAGGACTGAGCCCAAAGTGGCTGAAAGCATCGACACCGCGAGAACGGACGCAAGGGCTGCTCTCGCAACCCGACTGACGCATGGGCTGCGGAAGAGCTGGGCTGCGGAAAAAAAACAACAGTTCAGTTCGGCGGATGCGGATGCTGCGTTCTCGGCAGAACACTTGCTATACAGATGCCATACAGAGCTTGGTACAACAAGACAAGTCTTCCAACTGCGATGCAGTTGGATTGGCCCAACTTTGGCTGCCTACAACTCGCTGCGGTCTGTTTGGAAACAGAAGCTTCGAAAGGCGCCAGCAGCGGCACGGGCGCTGTGAAAAGACCAGTAAAACCATGTAAAACCAAAGATTTGGTTCCTTTTAGTACCTCAAAAGGTACGCTTTTTGGTACCTTTTGGTTCCTTGCCAAAGGGGTGATCCATATGCCGATCGTCCGCAGTGCCTTTTGTCCCAAGCGCTTCAACCGAACGCCTGCGACGTCGCGCACCGATTCGGCGATGCCTCCACCCTGGCCTCCACCCAACACAGTGGCTTGGCTCAGGTATGCCCAGGTGTTCATTGCCAGATTTCAATGTACCAGACAAGAAGAGGTACACAAGAGGTACACAAGGCTCAGAATTGGATCTTGATCGGAAATCACTGCAGTACGGGACTTTGGTCGACCAACGCCCAAAACATCCCCCCAAACCCATTCGTTGGAAGGTCTCCTGAGACTCATTTGCACATGCTTGCAGGGTGGCACCAGGCGCCTGACCTGGGAGCACCGGTCGCGATTGAAACTGAGTCACTGGGTTCGTGATACTGTCGGATGTTTAAGGACTTGGTGAGCCAGAAGCCAGCAAACGAGATGGACAAGGCGGACATGGGATATGCCAATGCTTCTTGACAAAACAGCGGCCTTTTTCTTGACCTTTTTCTTCTGCTACGACATGATATGATAACAACCCAGTGGTCTTTTTTCTTTCTAGTTGTTGGGACTCCTCATTAGAAGCTTCTGGATTGTTTCATGTGTCATTGTGTGTTATCTTGGATGTTCGATGTGCACCAATTCCAAGCTCGCAAAGCTCCACATGATATGTACGATTTTCTCATGTCAACCCAGATATATGTGCCACATCATGTAAGTTGCTTCGCTGTGCAGCTTTTGACTCCAGATACAACCCAGGTCATGTCAATCGGTTCGGTATCTGTGCAACGTCGGACATGAGATGATACTGAGGAGAAGTTGGATGCTGCTCCAGACGCGCCCAAGGCGCATGAGACCATGCTCCTTGCCAAGAGAATTGATGTCAATTGGACCATTCAAGGGGTGTTGAAGGGTTCCAATGGCTGGTTCTAGTGATTCTAGTTTGTTTGCACTTATGCTGGCAGAACATGTCCATTCATTTGATGGGCAATTGGCTTTGCCTTTTTTTTGTGCTTTCCAGCGTTTTTGGCGTTGCTGCTCCTTATTTGAGGGGTCCGGTTTATCTAATTAAGGTTTTTGGTCAGACATCTCCGGATCATCAACTTTTGGATTGGGATCCTGTTCTCGCGTCGCTTCTAGGGTCTTTTCACGAAAGGTAGCCCTTTAGGGGATACCTTGAGTTTGTCTTGCGAAGCAAGCGTTGGGACGTCCGGGTCTAATAATTGATCGCTCAATTCAGACCCCCCCCCCCTCGAATTGATTTTTCAATACAGACCCCCCACCCGCGCCCCCTTGGAATTGATTTTTCAATACAGACCCCCCCCCTCCCCCCCTCTAAAATCAATTCTCTCCTGGAGAACGTCTTCGTGAGCCTCTCATGATTTCAGGATAGTTGAAACCCTCTTGAACATTCAGAAAGAGTGAATATGAAATTCTAATCACGAAAGGTGTTCCCCGAGGGGATACATACCTAGAGTTTGTTTTGTGAAGCACGTCAATTCTCTCCTGGGGAGCGTCTTCGTGAGCCTCTTATGGTTTCAGGATAGTTCAAATCCTATGATGTTCCGATTCAATGCTCACCGATGATCTGAGCCATGGGGCAAGTTTGTTTTCCTAAGAATCTTTTTGAACATTTCGAGAGCATATGTTTGAACATTTAGAGTGCATATGAACATATATTTACGAAAGGTCGCCTCCGAGGGGATAAATCACCATGTCGAACATTGCATTTTTGTTCCTGCCTCTCGCGTTCTCTTCTCTTCCCGCTGTCCTACCTTTCGTGTCTCCCTCCTCTCAAGTTGGAGCCAATCTGAGTTTGTTTCATCTAATGAAACATGGGGCAGGAAGCCTCCAATAAAGCTGAGAACCCTGAGCAGAGAGAACATAAGGATGCTTTTCCAGATATTGTCTCAGAGAGGGTAGATTGATGATTTCCATCCTTTTCGCCCAATCCAGTTCGGGGCTCCGCTTGAAAACAACGACCAGGTTCTCCATGATGCTGGAAAGTGCCGTGGCGAAAGGTTGAAAGGTTCAAACAAAGACCGCACAGCTGGCTGCAAGAAGCCTTCGATGGCATTTCTTCGGTAGTGGAGCTAAGTGAACAGCCAACAGCCCTCCCCTTAAGTAAATCACGAAAAGACCAGTTCATACCAATTCGAAGAAGACAGGTCGGTCAATCTTCCTCGCAGTAGGTGTGACATCCAGCATGAGGGTTCACGAGCTGCAGCTTGAACTTGACGTGCAACAGGGATAGATGATCATGACCTCCATGCCTTGCCCGACTCCCGGGGCCTTGCGGGGCCCCGGCGGCCGACTGCCCGACTGAGAATTTAAAGCATGCGAAGTGCGAGATGATGCTGGCACCCTTGTTGACATCAAGCTTGAAGAATTCTGGATCGTCCTCCTTGGCATGTTGACATTCTCGGTCGACGCCGATGTGTTTTCGGCTTTTCGACGACGCGACGTGCTTCTCGGGGCGTCGAAGCAGCTAGAGAGAGAGAGAGAGGTAGGTCTCCCCAGAGGCTACGGTCACTTCATGTTACAACAAGTGAAAGCCCTGTTGCTCGAGGGAGCTCTTGTTTTTGTTAGTTGTTACCCATTATCCAACTGTTCAGACATGTTCAGACTGTCTTATGATTCTAGATTCTACAGATGATGTGGATTTGATGCGTGAAATCGGAGATGTGCATTGCAGGCTTGTGACCTTTATCGCGGCCTGGCCGGAAAGAATCTGGTGTCCAGGGCGCTAAGCGGGCTCGAGATCTACTAGTAGCTTAGTAGGATGGTGGACTAACCACTGGAGTTGTTTCTTCTTATCCCCCTGAGTTCAGATACCGAGCTACCAACATACTTCCTGAGTCTTTCTAGGGCAGTGCCCGGCAATTTTTGCAGACATCAGGCGTTTGACAGTGTATGGGTGTGTGTCAATAAGGAGACCTCCATACCTTGTGCCCTTGGGTATTAGTATAAATGTTTTCCATTGCAGACGTTGAATGAAAGTGAGAGGTCGAAATATTCTAAAGACCCCCTGGAAGAAGGGAAATAGATCAAAAACCCAATGGTGGGAGGTCTCCCGATTTAAATACCGATCACTGATCACTGGTGTGTGGGATCTCTTCAGATATCTTCAGATCCTGAAACCAACCCGTGGGTTCTGCTCCGAGACCAGGAGAGATGTTGTCCAAGTTGGGCAGTGCGGCCAACATGATCGTCAGTGACATCCAGCAAAATCTGGCCAACGCGAAGGCCGTGGCCCCATGGGGCGGTGGGCGACTGAGGGAACAGACTGAGCGGCGGCAGCACCGGCCTGCCCAATACCTGATCAGGGCCCTCAGCAGGCCTGTCATCAGATCTTCCATGCGTTTCCAATGTCTTCGACCTTTTTTGGAGTTGCAGTTTTATGGATCTTCCAATGAGCTTTGGAGATCTTTGCACCGCTTGGATTGGGGGACACTGTAGAACCAGTCAGCCTGCAATCAAAAAGAGAATGAGCCATTTGATCCAAACGATATCAAACGATCCATTTCAAGTGCGGAGCTTTTGTTGGGCTTCATGGGATCAAATCAATGAAGAGCTGTAGAGTAGTAGTATATGTTAAGATGATTTCGAGTCCTTCGGGACGTAAGGTATGACTGTGAACGGGCTCAACGGGCCATGCGTTCTGCAGACCTTCAGGCAGTCTACGATGAGAACCCCGGCGAGCGCAGCACTTTGTCTGCCTTCCTGTTGCTCGGCAGCGGCAGGTGGAGCACCCAGCAGCCCCACAGCAGACGCTGTGGCAGACCCAGAAGACCCCAACAACCTCACCAGGTCACCCAACTAAAGATGTTTAAAGTCTGTTCTCAGGTGCTACAGGATTTTCTTTGGACCCCAAAAAATGTATCAATATGAACGTCCACAGTGGAGTCTATAAGGGAGAAAGCGTCAGACATCACCTTGGTCAACATCATCGAAAATTGTGAACGGAAGAGTTGTAAGCTGCAATCGCGGGATGTTTGTGTTACTTAGACTCACAATCAACGACAAAGCCACAGGTGAAAGTTTGGTGAACAAAAACTCAGCAACCAAGCCATGTATATAGATTGTGGCACACTCTTCAAAGCCAGAGAAAACCGAACAGAGAAAACCGAACGGTCACTTGCCCAGTCTTGCTGTGCCTTTTTCTCGTGTCCCCGACCGCGGCCCAGGCAGTTGCCGAAGGAACACGTGGGCATCGCGAAGCTGACCTGGCTTTGCAGGCAGAACTGGCGGGCACAACGTCGTCGACTGATCCGTTCGACGGGACGGGTCAGTCTGTAACGGTCAGGACGAACCGGTGTTGGCAACGGATAGGGTATTAGGTGTGAGTATTATGGTGAATCTCATGGGTGTGTCGAAAGGGCTTCTCTATTTTTACTTGTTTGGTTGTCAGTGAATAACGCTTTCTGGATGTCTTTGTCCATAAAGTACCGCACCTTTTCGTGCAAGTGTTGTGGATGTGCTGCGAGTTTCAGCAACACATAAGCCCCTAGCCGCCCGATTGAATTGGACATCCTGTTCATATGGAGGTGACTCTGAACCGTCCGAGTCTACACATGATCTAACTCGCCCGCTCTACGTCACGCGTCAGGGGCTGCGAGTTCTTCCTGGTGATGCTCAATAAAATCTTCACCGAGAATTCCGGGGGGAATCCGGCCGTTTCAGCCGCTTGGGATGATGAGATGTTTGAATGACACCATCAGGATCCATCATGAGCTTCTCCTGTGGGCAATTATTCGTTTAGCAGGCTTAGCAAGCTGGCATCAGATTTGAAAGGCAAATCTGAAGATCGTTTGAGCTACCGTGAACATGTGTGGTTCTGTAGTGATCATACATTGCATAATAAACTGTGTTTTTGCAAGAGGCAGCATCCTGAAGTAATTGAAGTCTCAATGTTGCTCCTTTGCCTTTCAACTGAAGCGACTCGTGTTGTTTGTACCTAGGCTTATGAGGAAACACTGATGAAGTACCATGGATGGGTGTGGAGCTTAGAACAACAAGCCTTTGGGAGCCGACTTTGTCGTTCAACAAATCAAGAGTGACTAGAGCTGTTGTGTTTCAACATTTTCCAACCCTTTGGATCACAAAATAGATATATGTAGTAGAATCATGTAGAACCAGGAAATCCACTCATCGTTCATGTCTTGTATCCGTTCTGTTGCATTTCGGTCTGAACTCTCTATTTGCTACTGTAAAACCTGTACAAGTCTGCGTGTTCCATCGCATTATGGATCTTTATGATCTTTCAATCTTCCTTCAACGCCTTTCTTTGGGTCTTTGGCGGAGACCCACCGTCGCCGTCGCCGTCTTTGTCTTTGGCCAGTTCCTGCAAAAGAGCTTGAAGATCGCGCTACGCGCCCTTCCATCCAAAGATGCCATCGTACAGTCCGATGGCTTGGTCGTCCAAGGAGACCGGACGGAACTGGACACGGGGAACGACCGGGGACGTCCCAGAAGTCAGCTTCTTGTTACTACTAGCGTGGCACTTGTTACTAGTAGCGATGCACTTGTTTCTACTAGCTTCTTGTTACTACTAGTAAGGCACTAGGTAGGAAAGCTAAGAAGACAACGGTTTAGACTCTTGATGAATCACCCCCCGCCAGACATGGATTGTAAAACCTCCTCTTCAGGCTTGGGGTGGTGAAATATTGTTCAAGAGTCTACAAAGAGAGGTATGCCTTGGCTGCCTTGGCACCTGTGTGGCTTTCCACCATGTGGATTTGGGTGAGATCGGCTGCATGAGAAGATCTATTTGCGTGTACGATCCCTTCGAGAAATGTGGTTCGTAGAACGGCCACCTAGTTTTGTGATACACACACTTTGTGATACACACACACACACCCATGTTCCTTCAGACACCTCAACTGGTGCCTTGTAGCCAGCAGACATCAGCAGACCACACCATGCAGGAGACTTGCCCTTGGACAAGAAACGGGAGCTTTGTGAACGAGATGCGCCCGTGGCATCTACAGAAGCAATTGAAGTGTCTCTTGCCATGGATCGACAGTGGAGTCGACCGACCGTGGGGGGTGAAACACCGGAAGCACGGGGGGAACCCCCCGCAAACTTGGAGCCTCAAAGGAGCCAAGTGTTGGAGCCCAAAGGAGGAGGGAAGACAACCGGAACCCAGAAATGGAGCTTGTGGTCCTATTCACGAAAGGTAGCTTGAGCTACCTGAGTTCTCCTTGCTTTAGCAAAAATGTATCACAATCAGGAGTTGGGATTGTGCATTGAGTTTGGTCCTGTAAGAGTTGATTCTGTTCGTCGGGGGGGGGGGGGGCCCCCCTGGATCAAACCCCCCCTGCGCCGGTTCACGCCGTCATGGACTTCTACCAGGGTTACTTGTGATTGCCTGCTACCTTTCGTTCACCCCCTCCTCTCTCAAGTTCTATGGGGAACGACCTGAGAGCCTTGCCACCGGGATGTTTTGGCCACCCCCCACTGCCACTCCAGGGTCCACCTCGTGTTCGACATGATGAAGCAGACTGGCAGATGGGACGACAGAAAAGCCTGAGAAATTGAGCAGCTTTCTTTCAGCTGCAGGATTGCACAAGGTTCTTTTGCACGATTTCAACCCGGCAGCCTTTTGCTTAGAACTGGAACTGGTGATATGTTGTAGATTTTACATTGTAGATACATGTAGATACCAGCGTGAGCGTTGGCCCGCTACTGATGGCAGTTGGTGCGAGAAGTGGCTGCCGGGGTGCGCACCCTTTTTGGCTTGTTTCCACTCCATCCTTGAGTGCGCTGCACTAGAGCACACCCTGTAAACTTGTCAACGTTACAATATCTAAAGAAACTTTTGCTGCTCATGCTGTGAAAAGCAGTTGAGCGGCAACTCTCTCGATGACGTATTTTTCTTGTTGGATAGTCAGAGAGTTGCAGAAGGCAACCGCGCTGTCCCTCTGGCCAACGTGAACATCCCTTTCAACTGCAAGTGGTCACAGACTGTCTACTTCATCGTCTCATCATCAATTATACCTATTTTTAGTTTCATGTAAATACAAATTCCTTCCTACCGAAAGACTGCTGCAGATGATGTTCGCGATCCAACGCGTCTCGTAATGCTCTTACCGCTGACTTTGCACTCAGGAAAAGATCATGCTAGCAAATGTCCAAATATGTTCAAATCTTCTGGTATGCAAATTTCGAGTTTTTCGACGCTTGGTATTAATTACATTGTTGTATTTAGTCTGATATAGACGGTGTAGCCAAAATATGTCTGTGATGTCGCTGTGCCATGCGGTTTTGCAAACGCGGCATGCATTGGCGTGAGTCCGTGCCACTGAGGAAAGGCAAATATGTTGATGTGAATTCGGTGTATCCCTGCGAGCCGGATGATTGGCGACGCGGCGACGCATATGATTTTTTTACGAAAGCCAGCCTTCGTAGAAGGCGCCAGCTGAGTTGTGTTTGGCGAACGTAGGGGATTCGGGGGGGGTGGCCCGAGAAAGTACCACGTAAATTGGGGGAGGGGTGTGCGGGAGCAAGGTTTTTGAGGTTGTATTGGAGATGCATTTTTCCATTTTGCCCGAAATTGTGGAAGGTTTTCATTGGCTTTCGAGGCATTTTGAAGATGCTCGAAAGAATTTGAAGGTGTTTGGTATATGTTTAGATATTGTATGGGAACATTGGAGAAGTGTTTGCAAAATAAATATATTTAAAAATATTTGATGCATCGGGAAGATGAATGACATTAATTGATAGGAAAATATTTGGAGGGGGTTTGATGATACGTATGGTATGCGTATGCAAGTGCATGAATTTCTGAATAGAAAGATTTGTCTTCGTATTATCGAAAAATAATATTTAATTGTAGATGTATACCTTATATGTATTATATATATATATATTCGGAGAGATTATTTTATGGATTTTTAATTATATTGATTTGTTTTCTTGATAATAATTTAGTATATATATTTTAAATGATTATTGTCGAAATTCTTTTTAAATTCTTTTTAAACAATGTATCTTAAATTAAATCTATATTATTTAATCGAATTTAATAAATAATAAATTAAGATTTTATGATGTTTAAATGAAATTTTGAATTAAAATATCGATGTTATAAATATATTAAAATTATGGTTTTATTAGATTTTTATTTATTAAAAAATTAATAATATATTAATTTAATTTATTAATGAATAATAATATAATTAATATTTTAAAAAATAATATATTATAAATAAATATATTTATATCTTAATATATATATATATTTATGTTTGCATATATATATATATTTAAAAATTATCGATTAAATAAAATTCGTATGAATTTAGAATAAATAAATAAAAATATTATATTTAAGAATTAAATTATAAGTTGCTTAAATATATATATATTTTAAATATATTTCTAGATTTTAAAATATTAAAAATAAATCTAAATTATAAATTATTATAGAATAATGAAAAATATCGAATAATTAAAAACAAGGATATATAAAACATATTTAATAATTAAATTACAATTATCCTAAATATCTAAAATTTAATTGATGCAAATTATATTTTTTCCAATATTTCTTCCTTAAAAAGAATAATCCTTGCTAGCCTGAATAAGGAACAGGAATATTCGGTCTAAATTTAATTGGTTTAATGATTTTTTTTTGTATCAAAATTAATTTGGCCAACATAATCAATAAGGAATTATTTTCTACCGAACCCGATGAGTATGAATGTTTCTTCGGTCCGTTTCATGTACGATGCCGGCCTGATGATTTGTGTTCTTCCTCGGTTCGCGGCCTCTTGAAGCGATTTCTACAAATCTCTATGAGGTCTGGGAACGATTGATCGTCGGCGTTCATATATTCCATCCCTCAATCCAAGGAATGATTAATAATGGAATTAATTTTGGGCCAGAACGTGTTCCATTTCAAGTAACAAAATCCGTAAAATTAAATTGAAGCCATTGAGATTCATGAAGAGCCAAATGATTCATGCGGACGAGGCACTACCCTTCTGATGAGCCAACCATGGGGAGAATTCTGCAAATTAACGAAGGCGAAATTCCGGCCAGAAAGTTGGAGTGTCATGTAAGGTCAATCAATATATCGATAATGTCAGGCGGTTCGCACAACATATCTGTCGTCAGGACAGGATGCCAAGTGGGGGCATCAGGTGGGATGTTGAGACCAAGATTTCCCTAATTCAGGACAGTAGATGGCATGGGTGTATATGTTAATTGTTCAATATATTGTAATGGTGTAGAGATCATTGTGGTCTTCCATGGTAGCCATCATTTGGGGTCCTCCATCCGGATGCAAAATTACGGATCCATAATATTGATCCTTTACCCAATTATCAATGCCGGGCACGTGGCACGGTGATAATGAAGACGGAACGCAGCCTCAATCGCGAAGCAGCTGAAACAATGGCCACAGGCAAGACGTCCAATAAACATATTTCTATTTGGTCGAAAAGCAAAGAAGGTCGGCTTATCAACCTGATGGTCTTTACGAAGATGTCCAGTTGGGCCCTTACGTCCAATGGTCTCAAGACACAGAGGGCAACGAAAATTCTTGGGAGGAGTTAGAATCTCGACGGCAAGGCGTGCGAGAATTGTAGGGACTGTGTCTATTCGAGGAAGCTTATGAGTTCGGGTCGTAATCGATTCATCCTGGATATATTGGAATTCATCAGATTGCAAATATTTCTCAAATCCTATTGATGTCAAGAATTGGCATTGGCATGTTGCGCGTGCGAAAAGGGCCTGCTTCGGTGGGACAGGGGCATGATCAATATTTTCAGGCTCCTGCGTCTGGTCAGGCCCAAATGAGCATCCGCAGAAAGGTGGAAGGGTACCTGAGTCAGGTTGCGGCAGTGCAACAGGAATCGAACATTTCTGTGGTGTATCTGTGGTGTGTCGATAGGTATCGCCGGGAAATATTCTCGTTGGCAGGTCTATCCCATCATAATGGGCAATTGATACAAGACCCCACAGACATGTGGGCGAACGTCTCTACATTCACGATCACAAAAATAGCATCTGCTACGGTCACTGCCTAGATTGGCATATCCAATGATGTGATCTTTTTAATACACAATCAATGGGATTAAGTGAGCATGTTGATCGGCATAATGCTTTCGAATTGATCTGGATGCAACCTGGGTATGATAATATACATAATCTTGAACCAATTCAATCATCAAGGTATGGTTGAGCAACAATCCAGGGATTAATTTGTGGCGGAGATGCATCCGCAAGTCCTTTCGGACCGCAATGGGCGTGATCGACTCCTGCGCAGCATTGAATGCGGGGCATGTTCGCTTATTTATATGTTCACGGAGCCTATAAAAATCAACAAAGGAGTGAACACAATATAGATAAATGGGACGTCCATGTTATGCATCCCTAAGAGATTGATATAAATCTTCAATTTCATAGGGAATGTCATGATTCTGGCGCATATGTCTCTTGAGCATGCCCACTTGCTTGAATTTACGATGGCATTCTGGACATGCAACTTCCTGGGCCAAGCGTGCGTCGGGAATGTCAATGGGAAGGGAGAGGTCATTTGGCCACAATTCTGGGACCATTGTACAGACATTAGGTGCATCTTCCGACATGGCTTCAACCAACATACGGGCTTTACGAGCTTGCAAGGCTTGTTTGATTTTAGCTTGTTGCATCTGGAACATGATCCACGGGGGTGGAAATTGAAGACAACCGAAAAAATTATACAATAAATGGGTTCATGTATCAAGAAATTGGAGACCATGCCATGGTACGATGATATATATATTTATTATATTGATCAATCATATGAAATCCCTACGAATGATGCCCATCTCATGTATGCCATAGCTGACAGTAACGAGAAGATATTGCCGATATAATCTTAGACGTGTGGACAGCGGGTGTGCATTGATTGCTAGTGAGCCACGTCCTGAGTGTACGAAAATACCATTGAGTTGCCGTAATGCGTCTGGCGGTTGTAACAAAGTCCCAAGCACGGTAAGCGGTTTTCCAAACCAATGGCAAATGCCAATATTTCTCTGGCAATCGTAGAATGGATCCATCCTTCTGCCGATGCGCCCGTATTCGCATGAAACCAGGCGCTTCGCGACCTACCAGTCGGAATATGACCACACTCTTGGTCAGATTGACAAAAAGCCCAAAAGCCTTAAAATTATCCAATACATGTTGATGTTCTGATAAGGCATCACGTGCTTGTGGCTGGGAGCGAATGATCCACCTGAAATGGACGTCATTTATATACAGATTTATATGGTCACGAAATCATGCCAGGGAGACCCTGGATTGCAGGTCCTTCAGGATGAAATTCATAGCCAAAATCCAGAGAAGCGGAGCGTCTTTGGAGCCCTGCTTGATGCTCCAGCTAGCGGTCACATGGCCAATGAATTGTTAAAATGGAATGCAATATTTTTGAGGAATCAATCAAGAATTCACCAACCGAAACAGGTCAGGGATCAAAGTAAATTGATTGAGGACCCTCAAAATAAGCAATCGATTGACGGCATCAAAGGCTTTCTTCATATCCAATGAAATTTGCAATCCCCCAAGAAGACCCGGGACATCTGGTCTCGGACGAAAGGTGTGATATATGTTATGCACCTACCGACAATGATCTGATACA